AACTGACTTGTTGGGCAAAGTGTTGTTCTGATATTTAGACTAAAAACCACTAAAGTTTGATTCTCTGTGTCTAAACATGATGTACACCGATTGTGTACAATTAATGTTGCTTAAGAAAAAAGTGTCTTTCTGAGGGGAATGGTAAGGGAGAGTATTGTAAGAGTGATGAAGAAAGGAGAAAGAAGCACAATTATATTTTCAGGTGGACTTTCTATTATTAATTTCTCGGGATAGGAAACACCAAATATATTTACTATTATTTAATATTAAAATTTATTTTCCTCAATCCCTGCCTTATTAGAGGCTGACTCTACTGTATTCATTTATCTTTGGCTATTAAATAAAAATAATGGTTGTTCATAATTTCTATAGCAGCTTTATCTACTTTATGTGTCCTATAGAATTCCATAAAAAGGAGATTTAATATTCACAACGTGGCAAGATGAGCCTTAGACAAGAACCCCTCAGACACGGAGTTGTAGAAGGAAAGGGCTTTAATCAGCTGGGAGCATTGGTGGACTCAAGTCTCCCAAAACCAAGCTCCCGGAATGAGCAATTCCTGTCCCTTTTAAGGGCTTACAACTCTAAGGGGGTCCATGTGAGAGGTCATGATCCATGGAGCAAGCAGGGGGTACATGAGGAGGGGCTGCATGCACCGGTAATCAGAACGGAACAGAAGAGGACAGGGCTTTTCACGATGCTTTTCCATACAATGTCGGGAATCTATAGATAACACAAGCAGTCAGGTCAGGGGCTGATCTTTATCTACCAGGCCCAGGGCAGTGCTGGGCTCTCCACCTGTGGATTCTATGTCTGCCTTTTTGTTTTTACTTCATCTTTCTTTGGAGGCAGAAATTGGGCATAAGACAATATGAAGGGTGGTCTCCTTCCTTAACTAAATGAGTAAGTGACTCTTAACTTTAATGTTAGCTTTTGTAGCTGGTCCAGACAAAAGCAAATGACGTTGTAATATGATTAAATTTAGCTACCTAAGAACTATGGTATATGAATAAAAACATAGTTAAAAATAATGTCTGTCTTATTATGCTTTATAAGCAAGTATTTGGGAGTCTTTAAAAGAGATCAAATGAATAGCCTTTAAATACATTAAAATTCGGTTATATTTCCTTCTAAATAGTGTAACCAGTTGTGTCTTTTGAAGGGCAGACCATGAAGTCTGACCACTAACCTTCATATAACATACAGAAAATTGTTGTTCAGCTCTTAATTAGTGAGGTAATGGTAACATAGTATTGTATATATGTATATTTATATTCATCTATTTGCTTTAACTCAAAATTTATCTGACATTTTACATAGGTTTAAATTTTTTGTCTGTTTTCACAAAAGTTTGTGGAGCTTTTATTCTCAGATTTCTCAGGACTATAGGTAAAAATCTTTTTAAGAACTTCCTATTCAAATTTAAAATTGTCTATTAACATTTTCTCTAATCTCAAAAGTCCATAGTAGATGCCAACCCTATTTCACGTTTGTGTTGTTTTACCAAAGTATTTTACTTCCACACTTTTGTCAACTTTTATCTTGTTTGCTTTATAATCTTGTTTATAGTAGAAAATATCCTCTCCTAGCTTCTTTCTTTGCCAGTTTTCATTAGAATTTTAATATGAGCTTTCCGTTCATGGTGATCATCTTATCCAAATCACTGTCCCATGGAGTTCTCATGCCTTCCACTTAGTGTCAAATTTAGTTGACCTTTTTGAAGTTCCATCTTTCTTCTCAGACTTATCATCTTATAAAGATATTTTTAACACTTGAGCTTGTATTTTCTTCACCTTTTATAGCCATTCATAAAGATTAGTTTTTGAGCCATGTATTTACATGTGGTGTCTTGCAACTTTCTAAATTATTAAGATGTTTTACTGCATTATTTAATATACCATCACATCTCAATTAGTGATCTGTGATATATACACACACACACATATTGCTGTGTAGTCCTGATTTACACGTCAAAAAATGCCTGTTTAACTGTTCACATTCTTAACTTTGTATTTCTGCTTTCAAAGTAGAATTTGAATGTCTGGTAATTTTCCTTTTTATCTGTCAAAATCAAGCATGGATAAATATTCTATTTAAAGCAGATGCATAGATCAATGCCTGTGGATTTGAAATTTTTTAAACTATACATATTTCAAAATTACTCAAGACAGAGTTTTTTAAATAGCTTGGATAAGTAGCTGAATGTCATTATAGTTCATTAAGTTTCATCAAACGGCATGCTATTGCATGTTTACCCACCTAAAAGTACAAAGTAGACTGATTGTATTAATGGCAGACAGGGATGTGCCAGGTATGTTTTGCTTTCCAACTTTTATAGATGTTCACATTAACCACAATAAGGCATTGTCATCATGATCCAAGGACATCATGGAAATCAGTTTCTGACATAGCATATATTGTCCTTGAAAACTGCACCGACAAAATGAAGGGTCCAACAGTACTTCAAATAATAAAGAATAGATCAAGGATATTACTACAGATCTAGGATATATGAAAACTGTTGTGGTTCTAATATCCTTCTTTAAAATACATTTTGTCTCAGTATCCAAGAAGTAAGGAAAATATATTTGCAACATTTATAACTGTATATTTACTATAAATATCTCATATGATAATAATTTGGATAAACAAGTAATTTATTGAAGAGATGTAGAAAACTTTTTTAAAAAGAAATAGTAAGTTAAACTTAAGTTTCTGTTTAGCTTGCTATATTTTTACATCAGCCTTTTATGTAGAAAGTAAAAACTTATCATGAGACTATATAATAAATTTGCTATCAGGTAAGTTTTGTTTTATTTATTTTCTTCTGTTCACTATTACATTTGTCCACTACTAAACTTCCCCATTTAATTATGGTCATAGATAAGCTGCACTGATTTTGTATAAAATCTGTCAGCTTGTGTAAAACACGTCTTTTCTCAGTTCTAAAACGATACACATTAAATGCAGAACTTTCAACTTACAAGATCACCTTGTAGAAAGAAGTTGAAACACCAATAATTTACTTGTTTTAGAAAAAAAAAAAAATGAATGTCAGTCATCTTCATTCAACTTTGCATGGTCATTATGCTTTTCTTACTCTGCTACTCTACTAAATAACAGATTTTACAGATTAAAAAAACTCCCTTATACCCTTATACTTATACCCTTATACAATATACAAAATATTGCAATACCTCGATATTTTCATTTTAACTCTATTGTAAATGGAGAAATTCTTAACCTGAAATAAAGTGATTGAAGTAACCCTGACTAAAAGTCATTCAAAAGCTATTTCAGTGACACAACAGCAATGAAGAAATACAGCAAATTGACTCTGATGTAATACCAATGATCACGTCTTTTCACTGTGAATTAGTGGTCATGGATATGTTAAAAAATATGTGTTTGGTGCAAACTTTGCAAATACACATAAAAATACTGGATTTTCTAATCCCCGAAAGAAGTTCTCTTCTTTCACCTCTCAGTCATGTAAGAGTTAATTCTGTTTCCTACAAGGATGCAATCTGTAAGTTAGGTCTGGAAGGCAGCAAAGGCAACCTGGACTTGAAGTTAACACTTCTGTTGTCAAGGGTTACTGATGGGGGAAGGGAAGGGGCTGGAAAGGGAAAGAGTTATGGAAATGAAGAAGGATTGTAGCACACACTACATAAATTCAAATGCTATACATGTATTTGGAATCAGATTTCGAGTCTGTTGTATTTTTGCATTGTGTTTTCATTTATTTAGTTTACACATTGGTGGTGAATTTATAGGTTGGTTGATGTAAACCTTATCCGGGGTGTCCCTTTCCAACAATGTTCATTTAGTGGTACATTACATATATGTAATAATTTTGTAATTAAATTGGAATTTATCATAATTATTTACATCAAAGAACAATAAAATTATGTTACTTCCTAAATTGTAATATCAGTATATATCATATCTAGGATTTTGTGGAAAGTCTATGTCATTTTAATTTAAATGAGGAGTTCTCTTCTCCTCCACAAAATTAAAGACAAAAGAAAACAGCATGTTTAAGACTTCAAATTAATATATATTAAGATTCAGCATTTAACATTCTAATTCTTAAAATAACTGGCTTTCCTGATGATGAACTAAAGTGATTTTGCACACTGTTTCAGTATTTCAAATTGCTAGTCACCACAGGTCTGCCTCACTTTAAATCTCCTTGTTATGCCAATTTGCATTACTAATGGACTTGCTAAGAGAGAAACTGCAAAAAGAGAATGTAGCAATTAATAGTAAATGCTTGACATACTGTGACATTATAGATACCTTTATGTTGATTTATATTTTTATGCCAATATTTACAAGGAAAATATTTCTGAATTTCTAATTTTGCAAAGTAAAAATGATGCCCATGCCATTGTCATTGATATGATTTTTTTCTGTAGCATTTGATTAATATAACCCGTGTTTTATAATTGGTAGACTCATATTTTGGCTTCTACTATCTACTACCCGTGTAAGATATTTTATCTGGAGTAGCTATGAATTGTAAGGAATACAATTGGGTGCCATGTGTACCTATGTGAAGCGCAGAAGTATTTGATTATATACAATTTCCTGGATTTATATGAGAGTAATGCATAATAGAGAGCAAAAGAGGGTTTTCTTCCCAAAAGTATCTGTGTGAATTTTCCTTCGAAAATGTTCTTTTAAAATCCTTTGTATGATCAAAGCCACTCCACACAGACAATTAAAAGCAGATATGAAATGATAGATCACATGACAGGAGTTAAATGTAAAGGCTTTTTTTTTTTTTCCTCCCTCCTCGGTTAAACATCGCAGCAGGCATTACAATACCAGAGGTAACGAATCAATTAAATCCATTTTCCCCTCGGCGTCTCCAAAGCTGCGTGCCTAGTGTTGCTGTGTAGTTTAGAACCGGAGCAGTAGGACCCAGGGGCCTCCGCAGCCACCAATAGAAGCGCACACTTGGACCTATTTGTATGCAATGCCTTCTGCTCTGCGCATTAATAGTAATACAGATAACGGGTTTGAAAGAATTCTCTACCGAAGAAGGATTGAATTTTTCCAGGGTGCTGATACCGAGAAGAAACCCGACTTCACTCTCTCCCCATTTTCCCACTCTTAGGTGGAAAAGTCTTAGACACCTTTCGCTTGGTTTAAACTCGGAAGGGTCTCAGTGCACAGCAAAGTTGGAGGGGCTGCGTCTGCACTACGGCGCCGCTAGATCGCGGAAAACAGGCTTATCCAAGGGTAAGTCTCGCAAATGGTTGCAAAGGAAGTGACAGCAGGCTTTCGATTTGTGAAAGGGGACACGCTGGGTTTTACACTGGTGGTTGTGGGAGTGCAGAACGGTTGCCGAGAGGACTCTGCAGTTTATCCAGAAATTGTGGCCGATACGCCAGGGTGTTTTGGGGTAGAATCAAAAAACCTTCAGGCTAAATCGGAAATTGCAGCCTTGCGATCGGGAGGGATTCAACAAGTTTTCCTGCAGGGATGCGATGTTTGTTTATTCCTTGCAAGTTGTGCCGAGTGTCCGTTCCAGGTAGGCTGCGACTGCTTAACAAAGAAGTTTTGGGATTTGTTTGCTGTGTGTGGCTGGACTAACCCTTGTCTGAGCAGGTTTCGTGCCGCTTTTGGCTTCTTGGGGGCACACCGCGCAATCTCCTCCTGGGATGCGGCGAGCACCAGCGGTCTGCTGGGCTGGGGCCGGGCAACTTTGCAGCTAATCTCAGTGTCGCTGACCGCGCCGTTGTGAGTGATGTGAACGGACTGAGGCGTAGACCCCGGCTGGCTGCAGGGAGCTTCCAAACTCTGAAAGCATTCTCAGGAACGGATGAGCGTGGGGGCTTTGAAAATAAGCGTTACTGGGTGGATTTTGGTAAACTCTTGGCGACATGTAGGCAGCGGGGACTTTTGACACTTGCGATTGCAACCTGCAGGATTTTGCCTGAAAACATGGTGCTGATGTGAAGATGAGAGCTGAAAGCTGAGCCAGCGGGGACTTTATGTGAGGGAGGAAATGAGGGAGGGAAGGAGGAAGAATGAGAGAAGACATGAATGGAAAAGGTGCGTCCCGTCCTTCACACACAAAAACCACACGAGTGGGACGAACTAGGAGGCGCTCCAGTTGGTGGCGTTTAGCTGGAAAACGTATTGCAGGGAGGTCCAGGAGCCCCTGCATTATGGATGAAGCTCGTGCCCTTCTGGGGCCCCTTCCTGCTCCCTCTCCCGGCCCCCTCTTGCCAGCCCCGCTTCCCCGAGCCTGCGGCCCCAGCGTTGGCGCGGGTGCGGCCGCGCGCGGGGCTCGGTCCCACAGCTCCGCGAACACAATAGGGAGAAGCAGGCGAGCCCCGCGGGCGGCCGATGCGGAAAACTCGGCGTGGCAACCCCAGTGCCGCAGCCTGCGCTGCCGCTCCGCCCGGGACAGCGGCGCTGCAGAGGCGGCTTCTGCCCGGTTGCCACGCGCCCTGGGGTCTCGGAGGACCGCGTGCAGGGCGCTCACACCTGGCCGCGGAAATCCTGGGATCCCCTTCTAGGAGGCACTGTGTCCCACGCACATAGCGGGGTGGGGGGATGGAATGCTAAGACATCCCACTCCTGGCTCGAGTCGGAGCTTCCACTACTCGAATATCCTTAGTATGCACCCCAAGCATCTAGAGGACCTGCGCCCCCAAGAGAAAAACGACACGAAGGGGAAAGAAGGGAAATGTTGATGAGGCTGCAAGAGGGGAAGGAAAACAAGCAATTTGGGGCAATTATGGTCAGTGGTCAGGCTTTTCTGGGCTCTTTTAAGTGGATTGATTTAGACGGAGCTTTGAAATGCTGGCCCTGGCCTCTCTGCCGCACTAAAGGGGACAGATTTCCAGAAGCAGGAACTCACTGGAGACTCCTTCTGTAGATGAAGGGAGGAAAGGGCAGGGCAGGAGGCTCATTTCACAGGGTAGTTTAACCCTGACCTCAGCACCTCCCACCCTTTCACGCCCCGCCAGGGACTGCCCCGACCTTGTAAACTCCTCTGTGTCATCTGCCCTGTGTAAGTGATTTTCATCAAGCTGTGTGGTACAGAGGCCTGTTAAGAGATGGTTGTCTGTTTCCAAGTAGTGGTGGGAGATTGTTTAATTTGGAGGTTGATTGTCAACCCCGGCTGAGCGCGCAGAGGAAGGCCCGTAGATGCAGGACCCTATAGAATGGGCCACTTGGGGTTGTCAGTTACTTGAAGGCTACATATCAAAGGAAATAGAATGCTTTGAGCACCTGGGGGAAGACGGTGCCATTTCATTTTTTCCTCGCTTTCCCTGCGCCTCCTTTATTGTGGTTGTTTGAGAACTAGGATATAATAATTACCAAAAAAAAAAAAAAAAATGTTGAAAATCCACTGATTTATTTGGAAGCCTCATAACTGGGTTTTCAGGCCCAAACTTTTATGCTCCTAGCACCTATTGTTTTGAAAGCCTCAGTTTGCCACCTTAAAACCTGCTTCTCTACTATATCTTGAGGAAGCACTGGTAACTTTCAAAGGCCATCCGTAAGCATGCATCATATTGATTTTATTAAAGGGAAGAGGCAGGGTTAGGAAATGTTCCGTCAATTTTTGCCCTTCCAATATCGGCCCCCATCCCCCCCCCCAAAAGGAAGATGAAGCAGCAGCAGCTCAGAGCAGATATCTAGTTAGTAAGAGGACTTTGTTTCTTAGGGACCTATACCTCTCCCATGAGGGACAAAGATTAGGAGTATGTAAGGAGTGGGGGCATTCACCTCATATTGTTGCCTTGGTTTTTGGACTTCCTTTCACCTTTTCCCACATATCTTCCTGCTCCATGCCTCTTCCAATTTAGCCCTGTAGGATCTGCAGAATTGAAGCACAATGACACAGCTGCAGATCCCTGGTGGAGGCTTGCTTCAGAAAACAGCTGTTAATCACATGTTTGTTGTATTTTCCTATTTACTTCCTTTAACTTCCCTTCCCTTCCCTTACCCTGTCCTTGAACCAGTGTTACCATCTTCTGGGCTCTACTCTATGAAGGTTAGTGATTTCCAGAGATATAGCACTGAACTGAGCATGGGAGGAGGGCAGAGACTCAACAGCTGCCTAAGGAGTCCCAAAGGTTTAATGCCGACTTTCTCCTACCCTATGCTGCATGAAATAAAGAACAAATACCCTAATATCTCCCCAAAGAGAACTGCATTGTTCTGTATAATTTTCCTTTACCTTATAACATAATAGAATCAATTCAAACATGAAATAACATTGACCAGAGATGAAAAGGAAGCTGTACACTTGTGTGCACTATTTGGAAACTAGTGTTGTGCTTAGCTACAAAATCTCACTTTTTGGCATTCTTGTATACTTAATACATTAGGAACTACTTTTATTGAAGCAAGATTTAATATGTTACTTTCATTATGAGGCTGAGAAACTCAAGACACCACAAAGATGTGAATTTAAAATGAAAAAAAGCAAGGCAGTAAAGCAAGCCCCTGGCAGCTTGATGAATGAGCAGGTGCAATGCACCATTTGAAATGTAACTTGAGGTTAGCTTCCGCCAATTTGCTGGAGAATGAGCTCCTTCTTGTCACCTAAACTCAACTGATTTTCCTCTCTTTTCGAGACCATAAACAAAAACATAATAGCATACAGTAGGCTAGATTATGACCTGGTCACATAATCGTTTATCTCTCTAAACTTGCTGTTGAAGTGAGCAATGTTACTGTTGATGTATTCATATTTGTACCTAAAATATATTAGTGCTATATGGATCTGTCAATTCTCCCAATTCTACAGGAAACTGAGGTTCTAGAAGATTAACTGACTAATTCAAAACTGTATAGGATAAAACTGTAGAAACAGTGTTAGGCACGGTACCTGCAACAGGTATTTCAGTTAATCCCCATATAACCCTTTCAAAGTAGGCTTTATTAGATGTCTACAACATATGAAGAGAATGAAGCTCAGAGAGGTTAAGGAAAATATACATGACCATTCAGCAGAAAAGGGGTAGAGCCAGGATTAGAAAGAAGTTCTTTCTTACAACAGAGTACATGCTTTTCTAGTATGTCATACTGCTGCTTTTAAATGAGCCATTCTCTTCAATTAACTATACCTACCTATTTTCTCCCATACTTAAACAAGGAGTTTGATTATCCCTTGAATTTTATTTTAGTACTCGTAATTTTTTTTTTTTTTTTTTTTTACGGAGTCTCGCTCTGTCACCCAGGCTGGAGTGCAGTGGCCGGATCTCAGCTCACTGCAAGCTCCGCCTCCCGGGTTTACGCCATTCTCCTGCCTCAGCCTCCCGAGTAGCTGGGACTACAGGCGCCCGCCACCTCGCCCGGCTAGTTTTTTGTATTTTTTAGTAGAGACGGGGTTTCACCGGGTTAGCCAGGATAGTCTCGATTTCCTGACCTCGTGATCCGCCCGTCTCGGCCTCCCAAAGTGCTGGGATTACAGGCTTGAGCCACCGCGCCCGGCCTAGTACTCGTAATTTTTAAATCTCCTTTATGTCGTTTTCATGTCCAAAGCATTATTTGCATTTGTCCAAGACCAAACTTTTACAGTTACTTTCCAGGGATCTCATAGCCAGTAAATAACTGTTTCAGAAAATATACCCCACCCCTATCTGACACCCTACCCGTATTATCATCTCTGGGGAGCAGATCATTTGGGGAAAATTGAGGGACTTTTCATTTTCTTTGAAATTTGTACAAATACAACTAGGATGTCTGAGAAGGATCCATTACGTCATTTTCAGCCAGAAGTTGTACATTTCCACCTTTACATTCTGCACACATGTCTTCTCTAATCTTCAAAATTATCTTCCTCATTTGGCCAAACACTATCCATTTGTCCGGGATGGTTCATGTTCCTTCTTTACCATAAAATTTTTCTTATTATTCCAACACTATTGCTGTTCCTTACCTCTGAAATTCCAAGTAAGTTCCAATAACATCTGCTGTCTAATCTGGTCTTTATTCAGGGATTAGGAGTAAACTAACATTTCTTGAGCCTTTACCTTATATACTTTTACATACATTATCCATCAACTATAAATTTCTATTTCTTCATTGTATTTCTTCATTTTGCCCTTATTGCTTTTTCACTCTCGATAGTCACCCAGATGTTGTGATACATTTCTGGAGTTTCAATAATGACATCCAAATTTTATATTTCTTGTCCATGCATTGCTCTGATTGTCACACCTATATTTCCAAAGATCTAGTGTCATCTCCATCTAGAGATGCATCACAAACAC